ATCGATTACATTTTGTGTGATACTATGCATTCTTCTGGTAAACGTGTATATCAATTGCCATACTGTCGATTGCCATTTCGTCTCGTCAACCACAATTTCTAAGATGCATTTTCATTTTCTGCAACATTAACTGTATTTACGTGCATTTGGTTGTTTTGCTTAGTTTTTTCTTCTTCGATATTCAATCGACAACAAAGCGCAAACGTTTTTACAATTGAAAGCATCGATGATTTATGGAGCAGTTGCAATAAATCGATAATACTGATAAATATATCGCCATAAATACTTCATTCACTTTTCCGTCACGTACGAAATACATTGCAATATTTCATGAGAAGTTGTGATGAATCTCCAAGTGTCATTACGAATCAACACAATCATGTGATCTTGACAATCGATCTCAAATTGCCTTTTGTTTAACCTGAAATATCTTTTAATCGGGTATAATTAAATGGCAATAATTCAGCACATACGCTCATTTAAATGGCATTGCATACCCAATCGATCGAGAAAAAATCTATTCAGTTTTTCTGAATGATGAAGAATAGTGCCTGTTTAGAGCGGTTGCCTTTGTACTGTAATTAGTTGAATAATTGAATTACAAATGCGCTCAATTTACGTATTAATCATAAGTATATTGAATGTAATTGCATTGGGGTTTTTTAAATATAGATTTCATACCATTAAAATGCCACGCCGTTGAAGTTGTATTATTAAAATATGGCCTACAAATCTTTTTTTGAATGGAAAAATATTCATGAAATCGTTTGATTCTTAGCCGAGAACAGGCGGTCATGTTCTAAGAAAATGCACCGGATGATTTGAGTTATAAGAGAAAAAACGTTTCGTGTTTTTATTCTAGTAAAATTTGCAAACAATGGACGTTGTTCTGCCGTTCTAGTAGCGGATTGTCTGACCGCTTTGATTGGTGAATAATACGCTTTTATGTGCGATTCCGAAAAAAAGTGTTTAAATCAAACTCCACCTGTCAATAGATCTTTTCGTCGTCATTATTATTATTATTATTGAATGTTTGAGTCAGAAATCTGAATGTAAAACCCGCTTAAAATGTCATAAGTTCGTCTGTTTGCAGCCATTAAACAGTGGTTATTTGAATGAACAAATTAGTCACAAATAGAAATACAGCCCGGGACGTATCTCTAATTGCCAGTATCAGCAGCAGCTATCTCCTAAGTTCATCTGCATTATTTTAGTTGAATGCATCAAGTGAAGCATTCAAAATATAGACAAGTTCAGTATTGAACTGCTATGCGCCGCAGTATGCTATCACGTCGTGCGTTTACCGCAATACAATTTATCGATTCGAATCAAATATCGTTCAATTCATTGATGCAGATGTGGGATGTAGGCCACCTCATGCAATCACAAATCAAAAATGTACACTGCACATGCACAGTAGTCAAGCATATCAATGGTACATTTTCTATTTGCATATCTGCCTGCCCTACACTTTCGCTCAACATTCACTCACAATGTATTTCAGTTAAATTCTCATTTGCATAACACGGTGACTATAATCCATTGCATCGATTCTGCACAAATAGTGCGTAAAATTCCAATAAATAATATCCATCTGATGATAAAATCTTGATTTCCGTCACTTAATGGTGCACATTTCGAATCACACGATATGCCGATGTAGTTGCCACGAGGTACAACAGGTTTCTTAAACGACCCGACTCCTTTTCGAAAATCGCTTCAAATAATATGAAAAATTGGCCCACATTCACTTTGAGTTATGTCATCGATTGGATATGTTATCGGAGGAAAAATTGTAAATGAATTGCTGTCTCTACAGGCGCAACCAATTCAAAGAGATGAAAAATCGATACAAAATATTTCAATTATTCCGCCGCTGCGAACAAAAACATGAGCTGATAAATAACATCTGCGCTGACTGGCAATCAAGCCAAAAAAAATATATATATAAATTTATTTCAATTGATCTAGTTACTTTGACTGCGCAATAATACCGACATCACTACCGACAGTGAACGAGACGGTTTGCTATCGGGAAAACTGTTCAAAATGATATGCATGCAAATTTTTGGTTCGGCTCATTTAAATTCAAGAACGAAACAGAATATGAGCAAAATCTTAGTAGGTCGTTGTGGTGCTTTCAAATCGCGTGGGAGCACAATAATTGAAATTTATTAAATTGCACAAGCGAAAAAAGCAGAAACGAATAATCATTCGATTGGCAATACTTATTGCTTAATCCACATCGATATTGCATTTAGACATTTTCTTCAAAAGACTCGCCGAATGTAGCAAATGAACGCAATTTATGGAAATTTGGAATTTATTCAAAGGAAAAGGGCACGGCGTCATTTTTATTTCTCTTAATAAAGCTTCAGATTGGGACTTCTGTCTTGATAACTGCTTCTTAAACACGGATTTAAAACCAACGCCGGGACCGAATGTTGTTGTTTTTTGTTTTGCATTAATAATGAGTAATCTTTCCTGTGCGAATGAAAAAAAATCATTGTTCCATTGAATAAACCGTTTTTTATGCGAAGAAGAGTTGAAACGGAATACGGAACAAGTAATACAAATATATATGAATAAGATCCCATACTTGGCCTTTGGACCAAGATTTAAATGAAGCAATGATAACAATCGGCAGTCAAATTTAAAACGAACAGAAGAAGAAATGTAAATATCGAAAGTCAAAACGAGCGTATGTTGTGCGGCGATTCAGAAAAAAATCACTGGTGTTATTGAACGGCTGATGTGGGACACAGGAAAAATTGATTAACTTTATCTCTCAATGCTCGAAATTAAAATTGGCGTAAGCCAAAATGGTGTACGTATGTTTCTCATAAGTTTTTTTTCTTATGCGCATTAAGGAAAATAAATTGGACTGAATACAGTTTTGCAATCGTTTTGCACGAAAGGCTCTACTTCGTTGCTTGTATGCGATTACAGGTGGCGCGCAATTTTTCAAATAAAATAAACGGTCTTATCACTGTGCGAAAATGTAAATGTTTCATGTGGGTGAAACGCCAAACGAACGATGATCATTGAAATGGCGATTTGATGCCAACGATCTATCGAGATTGACATACCTTTTTCCCAATACAAATGTGGTGAGGAATAAAGCGCGTGCGCATACCACGAACTTAACATAGTGAAACTAATCGATTGTGGCATAAGCCATGAGGAATTGAAAAAAAAAATCGTTTGCTCATTGAATGAAACGCAATTGGGTTGAATGTTAGGCTTTTGGATTTTTTATGGAAGATTTTTTTATTTGTATGCATGAGCGAGAGGCTAGATAAGTCTTTCGCCGATTAAAGTTAATCGCTATGTGCGAATTCTACTTACTGAATGAAACAAGCAAAATTTAAACACTGAACATTATATCTACTATCTCGCACCGTAGAACAAAAATTTAACAAGAAAATTGTCAGCGATAACACTGAACACTGAATTGCGGACAGTAACTGATGGAATTGGACGCTTTCATTTCGCATTTTGCATTTTTGGAAACATTTTGCGAAGCGAAGCTGAAGAACCATTTCTAAGTGGCATTACGACATCTTGTTGCGCGATAAAATTGTCGATCATGTATTACAGTAATAAAAACCTTAACCAATGTTTGCATCTGCTTTTGTAAAGTGTATACACAATACTCAAATTATGCCAATCCATTATTCAATACATTGGAAGAGTTTGACTTCAACTCAAGTATATTTTTGAGTATTCCACTCGTTTCCATGATTTGCGAACTTTCTTTTTAAATTGATGAATCATGTATTGACAATGCGAGTGTGGGCAATTGCCATTGTTATGCCCGATGCAATGTAACTCAATAATCATATTTTTGGCAAATTTTTAAGCAACATTGAAATTACTTTTTTACACAACAATTGCATTGTATTGTTTGATAAGATTACATTCGTTGGTTTTTAGTAGAAGGAAAGTGTACAAATTTAATTTGGTGTGAAACAAAGAGTCCGATAATTTGGCGAAAAAGATTGCAGCAAGTGCGAAATACAGATCACTTTTAGCGCTTGCAAAAAGAAACCGCCTGTCAGTCGTATATTTCATACATACCTATAATTTTGCACAAAGTAATTTTCTTGTCTTCACGTACATATTTGATTCTCTGTCCAATTACCTATCACATTTTGTTCGCAAACATGTTCGATGCTTTTTGCTGTTACGTAACGATGCACGAGAATTCAAAATAAAATGTATGTGTTATTCAACTGCAGCGTAGTATCGTCCTGTTGGTGCAAACAGCACCCGATTCAACGGTTTATTGCCAATGTGAATTATACGTCATAAAAATAGCCCAACATCTGTTTGGACTGAAGTGAGGGACACTTTGTTTTCGAACAATTGTCAGCCATATGCTTGACCGTGTATGAAGTTAATTTTGGCTGTTATCTGACCGAAATGGCAACAAAAATAGTTTTTGGTTGCTGTGTAAAAAATTCATTGATAACAATCCTAGTTCGACAAAGGCGATGAAGTGTTCATTTCAACGATAATAACCCATTAACAAGTGTATTTTTAGCACAACATAAATCGTGTCGCGGGTCATTGTATTTTCGCATTTATCATTTCATCGACTAGAAAAAATGACAAGAAAAATCATAAATTTGAATAGAAACACAACCGGGACAGACACGAGCATATAAGAAAAAATAACAAATGAACAAATGATGTATATCTGGAATTTAATTTACCTGTTTAACACGAAAAACAACACGAATGCTTCACTCTTAATGTGCCACACGTCATGTTCTGATTGAATTAATCAGATGACGCTAATGCGTTGTGTAAACACTCATACGATTTTCAAAATAAATGTTACGCAGAAAAAATAAAATAAAGTGGTAAATTTTGGTTTGATGATGTTTAACTCTAAAATTAGCACAGTCTTTTTACAATCGGCCAATTACTTCACTTCTTGGCACAATAACATAGCAGCTAATAAATTAATTCGCAATCCATTTGTTTATTTGTAGATGAACCGAAATTAAATTCAGGCGCCTGGGAGGATCCGTTACCTATATCGAATGCAGCTAAAAGTAACAACAACCATTTGCATTCGGCTGGATCGCGTCGTTCAGAGCCATTTCCAGCGCTACGTTTAAGTAACAAACTAAATACGAATCCATTAAGTTCAGTGGCGGCTGCTGCAGCAGCGGCAGCAAGTCTGCAAAACGGCAACTACACATTGAATACAATACATCAGAACTTTAAAAATCGCAAAAGACTGGAGCACACACCATCGTCACGAACAGTTAGCTCGGATGAGGGATGGTGCTCAGAGCGCGGTGGATCTGAACATGATTTCTCATCCGATGGAGAGGATGAGGATAAGAAAAGTATTAATAGTTTAACATCAGTCAACACAAGGAATAGTCATTTGCGATCGACATTGAACAAGGCAAAACAGCATTTATCATTTGATAAATGGCGAAGTGGTGGCACATCCAGCAATCATTCGAACACTACGATGCCATCACAACAGCCAGAAATATTGTCCCCAGGCGAATCATCGCCTGGGGGCCGATTATCCAGATGGTTTTCTATACGTCGCGGTTCAGCGCATCAATACGATTTTGGTGCGAGCAAAAATTCCGGACGCGACAGCCGAGCTGGTAGCATAGAGCCCGATGAAAAGTCAAAACAATCAGGAACATTGAATGGGACCACAATAAACGGCTATAAAATGCCTTTATTGCCAGAGGTATGTAATACTTAAATTGTACCACCAATTCAAACATAGATCGTCAATTGGTTTTCGCTTTTATTTCTGAACTAGACCGACGAAATCGATGGAGCACTGCTTGGAGCACTAAATGGACGGAATAGTCAATCACACATTGATGCCATTAATCGTCAATTAAATCTTACATTACCAGCCACCCCACCGTCCGGCCTATCGCAACAGCAATTGAAACGACGTCATATTTTTGCCGCAATTGTTCACAGTGAATGCTCCTACGTTGCTACTTTACAGCGTCTAGTCAATGTAAGTAGTAAAACAAGTGCCGTTCGGTCTATTATTGTAGAAGATTGCACAAAATGAGTTGCAATTGATCAAACAAAACGAACAGTAGCCGATTGCATCGGATGTCAATCATTTGACTACACATTTGATTTGAGTTCAACTGGTTGATTGTTTCCTCAGAATCGAAAGTGAATAGAAAGATTCTATTGAACATGTTGATCGTGCAGAACGTTTTATTGGATTCAAAGAAGCATAAAGTGAATGAATATAATGAACCAAGAGTATAAATTATCGATTCTGAGTATCGAATCAACATAAGTACGATATGTTTCCAAGTCATTAAAACCAAAGCTTGTATTTATTTAAATTAAACAATTCCGCAGTTTAAGGCAATCAAATAATAATAATAAAGTAATTTTTTATGGGTTCTATTTGAAAGCGTGTCAAAAGAGCAATGTCTCATGTTCCATACGCGAAGCTCTCTGCATAAAATAGCAAAAAAAACTCATTTCTCGTCACATTGTAATCGTGACTTTTGGTTATACATATTCAATTACATGTATACGTTATTAATTGCGTTTATTTCTCATCGCATGTGTTTGTTTTCTCTCTTTTCAGGATTACAAAAAACCACTCGAGGAAAGTAATCCACCCATACTCAATTCGTCCAAGATTGCCATATTATTCCATCGTTTGCCAGAAATTCTACACTGTCACACACTATTTCGAATTGCCTTAGCTGAATGTGTTCGTAATTGGGATTGTGAGGAAAAGGTGGCCGATGCATTCATTTCGTCATTTGGCAAACCGATCATTCTGGAGATTTACAGCGGTTTCATTAACAATTTCTCAGCTGCGATGGAACTAGCCAAAATGGAAGCCAAACGTAAATCGGCTCTGGCGGATTTCTTCAAAGTCAAACAAATCAGCGCCCACGATCGACTGTCGTTCTTTGGCTTGATGGTGAAACCGGTACAAAGGTTTCCTCAGTTCATTTTATTTTTACAAGTAAGTGGATCTTAGGGCTTAAAATTACCATTTTGAATGCATACATTATTTAAAAAAATGTTCTTCTGCTTTTGAACAATAGGACTTATTAAAGTACACACCACAAGGTCATCACGATCGTATGTCACTGCAATTGGCGTTAACTCAGTTAGAATCACTGGCCGAGATGCTAAATGAACGAAAACGTGAAGCCGAACAATACCAAGCATTTAAAGAGATGTTAGGCAATATTGGCGGCACATTCAACACCCGGTCATTATCATCAGAAGGCAATCGCAATCGATACTTGTTGCGTGAAGATAATGTTACCCATTTGGAGTTTAATCAAGCTGGCTTCATAGTCAAGTCGAAACAACGTCGGCTACTTCTGTTGAATGACAAAGTGATCTGCGTGTCGGTGGCTCCTAAGCTATCAAATGAGTTCGGTGCGACCGAGAAACTTTCCTTCAAGTGGATGTACCCAGTGAATGAAGTGGAAATCGTTGACAATAGCACATCAGCCACATTGTCTCGAATTCTGACTGCCGGTAAGTATTAAGAAAAATAACAAAGTTCTTTTGCATTTTCCGTTATTTCATATTTATAATACTTATTCATTTCTATCGTACGAAGGTTTGAATCGCGGTGGAAGCTTGAAATCAAATGGTTCCGGAGCGAATGATACACTGTCATCAACATCGTCGAACGGATCACCAACGAATGGCGCTGATAATTTATGCAGCGAAATGAGCACCTTAATGCATGATTATGAAGTGATGTCACGCATAAATGATTTGATTGGTTCACTGAAAGGCAACTATCGTGATATCAATACAGATTTGACGAAGAAAATACTCGCCACCATTCAGTCATCGATACAGAAAAAAGACGAAGAAATGGCATGGGTTGATTCATGCTGTTTACAGTTGATCGTACGCACCAAAAACGGCAAAGAAGAAACATTCACATTCCAAACAGAAGATCCATCCGTTAAAAAAGAATGGATTACGGAACTTCGTTTGGCTCAACTGTCGTTGGATCCGAATAATTCACCAGCATGGGAGATTCCAGAGCGAGAACAACGACCACCTTCAACAAAGCTACCGTTGTTTGTAAAAGCACAGTCTGTTCACAAATCACATCATCAAACCGAGGTAAATTAATTGATAAATCATATGTCACATTCGAAAATCGAATTCTTAATTGAACGTTTCACTTGCAGGTCCGATGTGGCTGCTATTACACAACAACGAATCATAATCGAACGTCGACACGTCGACGTTCGAAAAATCAGAACTACGCCTGGATTTGTACAACCGATGGAACGAGTAGTCATACGACAATCTTACTGCAACACCATCAACGTGCTGGCGAGCTGAAAGAGGTCGGATCATTTGATCTAGTTGAAACAATCGTCACATCGATGGAATTCGTGAAGGGAATAAATAACTTGAATCCAGAAGAAGAGGAAAGTGACCGATCTATGATAGATGGGGATTCAGTATGGATGGGAACCATGTCAAAGAAAATCTTCATATATTCAGCGACAAATCCCGAGCAAGATAAACAAATTGCTGTTTGCACATTGCCGGCTGCTGTGACGCAAATCGTATTCCATATGGATAGCACTTTTGTCGCATTGACCGATGGAACTGTTCAAATATTCCGTCGTGGCTATAATGGTCATTGGCTACTCAAGGAACCGCAAACCGTTTCGTTTGGAGTTAGCGAACCGATCACAAGCATACTGTCGATAAATGCCAACGTCTACGCCGGCTGTGGGCAAAAAGTGTACGTACTTAATGGCTGTTCGGGTGAAATACAAAAGGCATTCGATGTAAATCGTGAACAAAGCAATGGCACCACTCACACCGTTCAGTATATGGCACATTCGGGAATCGGCCTATGGATTTCACTAAAAAATTCCAGTGTTATTTGCCTATATCATACAGAGACGTTTAAGCATCTTCAGGACGTCAATATTGCGAGCAATGTACTTCGAGTCACATCATCGCAACGCGACTGTGTTAATAATAATTCATCTGTGTTCGTAACCGCTCTAATGGCGTCCAAAGGATTGCTATGGGTCGGGACAAATGTTGGCATATCGTTGACTATACCATTGCCGCGACTAGAAGGTATGTAATATTTCAAAAACGAATCAAACTATTCGTATTTTCATTAATTTATATTCTTCTTATTTTAAGCGAGCAACCGTTTTAATCACACAAAATAATGAACACTTTATTTCCCTTAAAGGTGTGCCAATCATCAGCGGTGCCGTAAATATCTCGTATCATGCACATTTTGGTCCAGTCACATTCTTGATGCCACTGCTACCCAAGTCTTATTATAAGCCATTGCCATCAGAGCCTCCACCAACGACAACGATTCAACAGCAGAACTTCGACGAGGACGATAAGTTAAATGAAGACAGTACAGTTACGCTGCGAAGATGTGAAAACGATGAGCAAAACCAAAAAACCAATACAAAAGATTCAGCCCAACACAAAAAAACCGAAAGAAGTAATTCTCAAGATATGTCGGCCAGATTGAAGGCGCAGCTTGTTCAAAGTCCAGTTGTGTTACGCAGACGTCGGGGAAAAGATGCTGGCGAATTGTCTCGAGCATCAAAAACACTTCCACGAGGACTTGGATCGGCAGCCGCGTTCACAGCCTCAATGCATTCGAATACATCGTCATCGCAAGGGTCCGATCACAGCGGATGCGATGTATATGGTCTGTACGGAGATTTGATCTTCGTTAAAGAAGATTATGATAATGTAGAACAAGGACAGGGCACGTTAATGGACCCGTCGTACGAAAGTCTTCGAAGAAGTGAACCAGAACTCGCCACTATCGCCACCAAAGTAACCACGTTAGATCGACGTTTGCGTATAAAAGTGAGTCGGCCACGTTCATTAGATTTATCAAACTGGTCAGTTGACTCTCGATCATCAAGTCTGTACACATCTTCGGGCAGTGAGGAAAGCATGGCCATACGTCAGGGTCTATTTTCCAGTCGAAGTGTATCTAGGAACAGTAGTAATGCAAGCCATAAAACCGGCACCGACTTGATGAATATCTGTGAAAACAGTACCGATATCCAAATTGTTCCAACGATGGCTTCAACACCACCATCGGCTACTTCGACCATGAATCGTCCAATATTGAAACGATCACCAAAAGAAGAGCATGAACAAATGCAAACAGTTGTTGCAGCGACGCTGAAGAAAAAGAAAAATGCCAAAAACTCAGCCGCCACAAATGAATCGGTTTTAGGTCGGCGCACGGTGATTACTTTAACCGGCGGACGCGGCTATATCAACTGGAAACACGTGTGGTACAACTACCCAATGGATAAATCGCATAAAACGAATCAAACATTGGCACGAGCACCAAATTCAAGTGATGCGCATGTTGTCATGTGGGAGAAGAAACTTTGAGCCCTGTCCAAACAATATGCATTTAAACTATTGTGGATTTTTTTCCATATGTATTATTCATATCAAACGAAAATATTATGGATATTTAAATTGACTTTCCCAGTGTCTTCTAAAGCGTATAATTGTAATATAGATGCATAGAACATAAGAAATATTTAGTGGCTGCATTGGTTTTGCGTTTTAAATAAAACGAAAGGAAAAATCTAAAAATGGGATTTATCATATAGATATATATTTAATATTTTTTTACAATGTTAACTTAACAATTGCCATACAATAGATTTAATTAAGCATTGCACAAACATATACATTCATATATTAATTGTTATTTTCTTTTAGGAAAATAAGCAAATCAATTATTTCAAACATGTAAACAGAAACACATTTTGACGCTGAAATGAGTTACAATCGTCAATCAAATTAGAAGTAGATTTAACACGGAACACAGTTTTCCCAGGTTGAATTTGTTTTTTCTTTCATTTCATGTTTAACTTATATAGAAGGTATGGTTTTCTAGACTATCCACTACTTCTAACACATTTTGTGTGTCAAAATATTCAATAATTATTAGGATATTTGCAAAAGAATATTTCGGTCTTGAATTGTGGAAGAAATTGTTAACATCAAATCATCTACAATAAAGGCAAATGACTTCAATTGGTGACACGTAAAAGAACATATGATTTTTTCGAAGTTTCCAAGCGTCGACTGAATACAGCTAATAGGAAAAAAAGTTATTTTGGCAAAGTTGTAAAAATTTGTGGATGCTTTAACTTTTCCGAAATCTATTTTTATTCATTTTTATTTCAGTTATGCGTAAAAATATTGAAAAACACACAAATCTTATACGTCTCATCTAAAGATTTTAATCTTTTCTAATAACAGAACAAATTGAAAAATTGCCTTATCTCATTGAACTGTATATTTTTTTTAAAATCATATTTATACATTGGATTAGTCAAACAAATTATTCGTATTACTTTATTTTCTACTATTTCAAATGTTTGGGCATTAAAACAAAATGTTTTTCACTGTTTTAATCATCCAAAATAAAAGAGAACATTTTATTTTTCGAAAAATCAACAAAATTGTCCACGCTGTTTTCTTTAGACTTGAAGTTATCTCGTAGGATTGGAATTCATGTGGAAGAACTAAAGCAATATATGAAAAAGCATTTACGTTGTCGAAAGACATATAGCACTATAGTTTTTGGTAAAGCTTCAATATCGAACGACGTTTGATCACAGCGCCATCTGTTGAAAATTTAAATCCTTGAGCATCGTCCATTTGGCTAAAAACGTTCATTTCACGTAAACATCAGATGAAGAGAAAGATATTTTAATCAAATGTGAATGTTTGAGCAATGAGCACCAGATCAAAAAAAAACAAAAGTTATCCATTGCCCAATCACGTTACCTGTTTCAGTTTAAGTCTCAAACTTTAGAAATAACTTCCATTTTGCGGAAGTTTAGTTTTATGCAAAGCATTATCTATAGCATGAATGTTTGTAAATTTAGATATTCTCTTCGTTTTAGATTTAAAGGCTTTTAATGAATAGAATATATTGTTATTCTATCCAAATGAATAATAAGTTTAGTTTCAATTAAAATTATGTACTAAAGTTATATTTGATCGGGCGTTTTTCATAAAGACACAATTGTATTGCTTGAGCTTAAACCTCGTAATGCGTTATAATGTGTGCAGCTAATTGTTCACACTACATTTATCGATGTATCTTAAACGTTCCATTTTGTCTGAATCAGTCTGGATAAGCAAGTATAACTGAGTGGGTGCTCCGAGGAAAAAAACATGTACTCTTCTCGAAAACGTGGTGAGCTCCTTCCCATTTCAAATTATTTGATGATCTGATGTCAATCCGTACCGGACTGTTCACTCGATGACTCCAGACTTTGCTCTGAATTTTGTCTTCGTTTCGTTGGCCGAACACTGAACATAGGGTAAATAGGTGCATACTGGTTTCTTTTGTCATTTTCCGAATCACCAAGGTTTAAGTAGTCCTCCAGCAGGGCTTCATATTTGGATGGTACTGCAAAGAATTCTACCGCATTACATTCTATTTCACTTTCACTTTTGCAAGGCGACAAATGTAATTTAATTACCGATATGATTACACTCTATTGAGTCGGCGAAATGAACACAGCGATAAGTACTGTACAGAGGGACCGTTCCAATTGTTATCGGTAACTTAATCAACGGTTTCAAGGCTCCGCTGATATTGCCATAAATCTGAACAACGAAAAAAACAGACAATTTTCGTTAAAAACAACGTCTGGAAAGTAACACTATAGCTAAAGAATTTCATTGATGAAATCAAACGCCAAGAATCGTGTGGGGGAAACGGTTTTACTGTTTTAAATTAGATAACGATTCGACATGATAAGCGACAAAAAATAAATCCATTGTTCTCTTCAGAAAAAAGCACTATTTTTAGACAAACGACGATGTTGGACAGTCTCAATGTAATTTTTTTAAATACCTTAATTTCGTAAGTGATGTGTAAAATTTTGCTCGAATTATCAGAGGTCGAGGGGACTGGTGGCACTAAAATATCTGGAATGTGAACTGCACACGTGTTTGCTGGGCAGCCACCAACGAATACTGTCTGTACTGGTGATTTATGTGCTTTTCTTTGATTGCGAGTCGTATCAAAGTAAACACACACCTTTTGAAAAGCAAAACACCAATAAAACACATTAGTCATACTTTCATTTCACATATATGATAAAAGAGGCTTGCTCACTTTGTTCAGTTCAACTTTAAATTCCGAAATATTTTTGATACTTTTGTTATTCACATCTATCTCAAGTGGTATTGTTTGTCCTGGAGCATAACCTGATGTTGGGATGGTCGCGGTTATTTGCACATTGTTCAAAGTCATCGATAAAAATCGGAAAAATTTCACACACTGTTGCTTCTTTGTAGGACTCTACAAAATTTATATTATTTAAATTATTTATCCATGATTTATTCAATTAGTCAAGTATTTTTCGTATTAGTCATACCTGGAACAAAGGTGATGCATTCAAATTATGAGGTTTAATAACCGTAAATGCAATTGTTTGAGTTTGCACAGGCTGATTCGGGCGAACGATATTCACACTTGCCAAATATCGAATGAAACCGTATCTCCCTTCACAAGACGTCGGCAAATTGTTCGGCAATTCAATTTCAAAAGGGTATGTATAAACTCCTGTTGAAACTGTGGTAGAACCTTCAGATGGTTCAGATATTTTGATTTCTGATTTTAAATAAATTTCTTCAGAATGAAATAAACGACGTTGCTCTGTCCATTCACATTTGCCAACGCCAAGAATTTGAATGACAATATCTGTAAACCACCAACGATTAAATTCTTCAAATGTCATGAAATCATTTCACGATGCAACCAACCTTTGACTTTTTGCTTCTCATAAAATGTCAGAACCTTACAGTTTAAAATAGAAAAGAATGAACGTCATGCATTTATTATTTTTTCTTGTATTTTCTATACCACATTACCACATTTCCAGATAATTGTTGTCCACAATGATAGACTCCATCACAGTGACCGTTTGGATTCAAATGAATTTCACAAATTGTATTCTTCATCGCAAAAAAATCTCTTCTTCTTTCTTTAAATCAACTTAAAACACCGATTCTTCCTTAGTTCCGGCAACTCACAGCACATAAATGATCAAATGATGCGAATTCGAAACCTTTTTCGTCTGATATGTCGATTGACGTTTTGCGAGAATTGCGGCTTATACACGAACGTCAGCTTGATCGTATTTACTAGAACAAAAAAAGTGCAGCGATAAGATAACGGCGTTATCAGCAGAAAATATGAAGCAAAATGTTGAAAGTCAAATAAAATCAAGTCGACGATAGTAATTTAAAGACCAAGGGTCGGACAATCCGTTTCAAATGGGGGGGGGGGAGACAGAACAACACATTTCAAACATCCAATTATTAATAAATAAATCACACTAAAATGATGGCAAATATGTAAAATTCGCAAAAATCAATAGAAAACACGGTCTTCATCGCATGAAACTGTAAACAACGTGAACGCAAAGTGCAAATCAATTATATAACACAAAATAATACATATCATCGAATTTGTGTAATCAACGTCAATCGGAGTTTTGGTTCATTTTGACCCCCACCTTGCTGTGTCGGTATGCCAACAAACGTTCAAACGTGATCCGGTTATAACTTGATTTTTATACATCAGACAATTTCTTTGATCTTACAAGGGAACTACGATTTGTTTTGACGGAAGCAATTAATCTGTTTATATTATTTCTCTTGTGAACATTTATTTCCCATCGGTAACGCATCAAGAATACGTATACGTACACTACCGTGCAAAAGTTTGGAACCACTAGGTATTTTTCATACAAATTGAAAAACACCTGCACTCTTGATATATTGTGCATAGTTTCTACAACGTTTCAATAGTAAAACACAGTGGTTTCATCAAAAAATATTCATGAATTTCAATAGCAATTTGAAGTTGTTCTGTGTGAAAAATGATCAAATTTGTATGAAGATTAAAACAGATCAAATTCAAATTGATACATTTTTTAAATACGTGAATATTTTTTGATGAAACCTCTGTGATTTACTATTGAAACGTTGTAGAAACTTTGCACAAAACATCAAGAGTGCAGGTGTTTCCGAAATATGTTAATGAGTCCACCAAAAATGGTCAATTTGTATGAAAAATACCTAGTGGTTCCAAACTTTTGCACGGTAGTGTACATTGAGAAGAAATGATGATATGATAACAAATTCGAATGATATGAAATCTCTTAAAGAAAATTCGTGCGTTCACACACGCTTTCTTCACAAAAGGCAATTCCAGTTTGTGTGTTAAGAAAAAAAGTAAATAAACAGATGTATCAATTCTTAAATATCATAAACAGTGATTTACTTCTTCCTTCAATTGCGTTTTGATTTCTTTGCACAGATAATACGTACGTCCTGTGCTCTTTCGAAGTTGATAATCATTTTTTTATTTCAATTTGTTGCAGTCAATGAGATCGGTCCGACTTTGTTTATTTTTGGTACAGACTGATTAATCCGAGACACATCCGCGAGAAGATCAATCACAATGTTTTGAAAATAAGATTTCTGTTGGCGCGTTCTATTACTTTTGGTGTTCCACGTGTAGCATAACTTATATTGACCTGAAATTGCGTTGAATAAAGTTCAACGGGGTCGAACCAGATTCATAACTCTTTGAACAACCTCGGCTAAATTACTTTTTGTGAGCCATGCGATGAGAAATGTAATTGTTTATAATGTTCTGTTGTTCCAGTTTTAGTTTTGTGTTGGTAAATCTATATATACATAGTGGGAATATACATATACTAGCTGTTCCCTGCGTGCTTCGCTACGCGTTTTTATTTTCAATATTAATCGGTCGATTTTTTTCATTTTAGCCAAAATATGAACCACTACTAATGTCCGAAATTGTAAATTATATTAAATTTGTTATTTTTTCTGTCTCTTCAATTTCTGAGGGATCATTGCAATTTAATCGAACGTAATCGCTTTACTGCTCTATGATTTTATTATCAATTCAATTTCATTTGTCATCTTATTTCACGAATATAAAAATTTTCAGCTGCTCTCGAAGTTTCTTTTTTCAAACGATTTTCATGGTCATATGTTGTTTCGCTTTCTCGGATATATTTTTACTTTCTTGCATTAGATGTTTTTTCCCAATATACATATAACTTTTTTTTGAAGGCATTTTCAATTATTTTTATTCACGGAGAATAAATTAAAAAATTAAGTTAAAGTGACAACAACGTCAAATATGACAACAAAATCATAGAGCAGTAAAACGAATACTATGATGATAAAGGAATTGTTTACTTTTTTTCAACATGGTTTTCTCATACCAATAAGTGTTTAACACGATGGCCGACCATGATGGCCTTTTTTCATTTTCTTTTTCATTCAAACATATGATACACAACCCATATGAACCATTTGCGGAGAAATTCAGTGTACAGTGGAGCTGTGCGGAGTTCGGCGGAGATTTCATACATAAGCTATATCTGAAGCAGTGCGTTCATGGCTACTTAGATGTGTATTGAACAATAGAAATGTAAATACAGCAAAGAGTGCTCACACTTACAGCGTATTAACGGTATTTCCGCTGGACTCCGCACTGCTCCGCTGTGCACTGTATTTCTCCGCAAATGGTTCATTTGGGTATTGACTATTCATATGTGAAAATGGTGTTAAGTCGACACTGCCTTCTTGACAGTTCTCATATAAATGAGCCCAGAAGCGCCAACTGGTGCAAGAACATGTAATAGAACCGTTGTATACCAATAGTATTAAAAGCTTAAACGTTGGGTATACTGTTATTGACTGTTTTGAATAGTAGTTCTTTCACATAAAAACATAAAAATCTGCTTGCATTTAACTGATATCTCGCTTATTCCATTGATATTTTTTCCAAAGGAGAAAAAAAAATATTTCAAGCCTCAATTGCACAGCATATCACTATTAGAATCATTGTGTCAACATGAATCAACCAATAAACAAACCAAAACAAACACAAACCACACAATGAAATACCACGTTTGTATAAATATAGCAATCACTTGAAGAGAAAAACTCAAAAAAACATGTTTTAATAAAAAAAAATTATTCTAATATTCTAGACCCGGTATATATGAAATTTAATGAAATTTTTGTGTTTTCACGTGTTTTCATCAACATGAATAACTGCGACAAATGTCACTTCATGTTGTCATTGAAACAATCGGAACGTGGAACGTCAACAAATGAACTGACATTTGTTCGCAATTCTTAAGTTACTCTTGTGTTGACAAAAACACGCAAAAACGCGAGAAAAATGTTTGATTTTACGTTTTAAAATAACAAGATTAAATTCTTGCATTGAAAAAAAAAATATTCGCGCTTTTTAATAAAAATAAACTCAAAATATTTCTTGAGAACAGAAAACCGCTCAATAAGCAACTGACACATGTATATATTTGTATACAAGCTTTTGAATTTGACGTACGTTGTGCTTGTAGTACTTGTTCTTGCACCAGTTGGCGTTGACGTTAGAAGGCATAGCGTCGTGTTAAGTCGTGTTAACATGACCATGACTGACCGAGAGGGTGTCCAAGTCCATGTTCATCTCCGTTCCGAGGCCTTTCATATGATATTCATATTGACTATTCATATGTGAAAATGGTGTTAAGTCGTCTTAACTTGACCACGATGGACCGTGATGGACCATGATGGTGCCTATGTCACCCGCCAGCCCAAGACCTTTCCAATGATGTATGGCATGTCCAGATCGGAACACGCGTTCGGCCTCCAAGTCATTTCAGACAGACAGACACACATTCTCTTTTATACACTGTCACATTAAATGGAGAATCTGTCACC